AAGCACTGTCCCTCAAAGGCTACGAAGAGCAGGTTACTCAAATTGTTCAAGTTATTTTGTTTTCCCTCCAAAAACTTCAGCCAACTTTGCCTATAAATAAAAGGCTCCAACACATGTTTAGGAGGATCTTTGGACCAGAGGAACGAATCCCCCAAATTTTCTCAAACACAACAAAACTCTCAAGTTCATCAACACTTGAGAAATCAAAACCCTGAATCCCAAACACTCACCTCTTTCGATTATGAAGAACACCCCACACATAGAAGTTTGTTCAAACTCAAAGACAACCTTCTGTGACAACTCTTCAAACCAAAAGCGAACCCCCTGTGACTACTCTTCGAATTCCAGAAATGTCCAGGCAGCAGTTCAAGTTCGAATCCCACATCCATTCAAGGCCTGAAGCAAGGTAAGTCACTCTTACCTTTGAACTTTTCGTTTCATAACATGTAAATGCAATTCCTTTTCGTTTGAAACATTGTACATACCATTGTTCCTTTCGTTTCTACATTTTTAACATATCTTTCAGAGCTACCTCTTTCGTTTTTGCTTTCTGTTTACCTGAACTAGCTTTAACTATTAAACTGTTTGAAAGACAAATACTAGCATGGCCTCAGGCCATGTTGCCATTTAATGTTTTAAATGAAAGAAATAGGAAACAGGAAATAGGAAACGAAGCTTCTGGCTTCTACCCTCTTTCTCCAGGTCGAACGAAAGAGACAACTAGGAGGAAAACCATACACTGACTTCCAGGCACAGTCGAAAGACGTTCCCTCAATGCTTTCAACCTCCAGTCGAAGAAGACAACAAGGCAGAACCAGAAGGCTTCACCATACACTGACTTCCAGGCCAATCGAAGGCCAGGACCTCACTAGTGCTAGTCCCAATCGAAGGAGGCCAGCATAATGCAAATCGAAGGCTGCTACTGCCTGGGTCGAAATACACTCATTTTTCTTACTTTTATCTTATTTTTTCCTTCATATTTTTTATGCCTTTCGATACGGTTGTAATAGCGTAGGATTTTATCTTTCTGCATTTTATTTACTTTGTACAAATGTTAGTAATTAGGCATGTATGGCAAGATAAAATCAACAAGTAAACAAACCAAAAACCACTTCTGTAACTCCTCCTTCCTCGTCCACCATTTTCAAAATCCACCATTGCAGCTTGACTTGTCTAGAGCAGTTGGGCAAGCTACAAGACATTCTAACAATTGGAATAGCTTCAGGGAGATCCAGGCAAGTTTAATCCATCATCAAACCATTTTTGGAAGTCGTGTAGAAGTCATTCGAGTTTCACTCCAAGAGGTAAGTTTTTCAAACTTGGAACTCTTCATTCAAGCATCATTTGTATATACATTTTGAAGAAAAGATGTAGATATCATGTCTAGGAAACTGACTATGTCCATAGTTTTGATTATCATTGCTTATACTTTGAGAATTTCATATATGATCAGTTAGGTCTTAATTTTGGTACTGAACAAAATTCATGCTAACCTTCGACCCATAACTTTTGAAAATTATGTGGTTAGATTCGTATTCAAATTTTAGGCAGGTTTGATGTTTACATTTTTTGATTTGGTTGAGAAATGAAGCTTTTAGAAGCTTAATAATGGAGTTATCATGGCCTGCGCGCGCAAGGAAGAAGAAGTTAGGCATTTCAAACATTCAAAAACGAGTTCATTTTATATTTAATTGAAGTTAACTTATGAACGGATGAAACTGACCACCCCAGTGGTACAAATAACGCTCATTAAATCCTTTCCATGTAGAAGGTCCTGGGTTCGAGCCCCAGCGAGACCTTTTGTCATTTTTCCAAATTTTCTCACTTTTTTTGTTTGTTTGCAGGAAGCGCGCCTGAGCCTCCATTGGCTGAGCCTTGACATTTCCATTTTCTGAACCCACTGACGTTAAAGTTATATCTTTATCTCATTTTCTTTACTTTATTATTTTTATTATTATAATTATTTTTATTAATCAAAAACACCAAAAATATATTTAAATTATTTAGTTTATTTTTATTTAACTTCTTACAATGAAAAAGACCAAAAATATTTTCTTATTTATTTTCTTTTCTTTAACTTAATCTTATTTTTCTTTAGTTTAATTAAATTTCCTTTTAGTTAAATAGGCCAAAATCTTTCTTTAACAAAATCAAAACAAATTCATTTTCTTTTCATTCATCTCTTGTACATTATGTTCCTTTCAATTCTTGTAAATTATTCAAGTTTCAATATGGTTGTAATAGATAATTAGGTTTAATTTCTTGCAATTCCCATTTATAAATTTGTACACCTCATTCCCAAAATGATGTAATAGCGTAGGACATTTATTTTCCGCAATTTATCGCTTTTCATATAAATCTAGTAATTAGGATTTGTATGGAAATATAAAATCAATGCTTAGAAAAGCTTAATCCAAGACAAAATCAAGCATGAAAAAATAAACACTTACACTTTTACACCTCTAGGGTTAACTCCACTTGTTTCCTTGAGAAAATGGTCATGATATGCATGTGAGACATCTTAGCAAAAACAATCAAGATCATAGTCCCCTGATGACGCTGCAAATGTTGCCTTATAAATGACCTTAGTCCCTCAAGAGAAATGCTAAGATATCTCACAACATTGCTATTCATGACTATACGATGACCCACACTCATCTCTTTACATCCAAAGATAAGGCTTCTTACCAATCAATGGTAAGATAGCAATATCAAAGGAAGAAAGAAATGAACAAAAGACTTTTGAGTAGGTAGAACGTTCTTAGTTGCTTGCTTACAATCCATCTTCAAAAAACAAACATCTTTTCAAACACACCAAACACTTTCAAAACATGAAATATTTTCAAAAAGTCCAACACTTTGTATGCATTCTTATAGAGGCGAGAATCATTATAAAGTTTTCCTAAACGAAGGCTATTTTAAAAAATACTTTCAAAAGCCACCATAAACACATTTCAAACAAAGCAATTTCAAAAAATGATCTAGCAAGCAACTAAGAGCCCGTAGATAACTACAGATGAAAAGGGTGCTAACACATTCCCTTTTCATAACCTACCCCCCGAACTCAAGAAAATATCTCAAAGGTCTTTCCTGTTCTTTTCACTCTTTCCTTATTGGATAAAAGAAAAGTCGGTGGCTACTCTTGTTATCCGCAACAATTGCGATAAAACGCAAAACACCCAAGTTAGTTCTCTCACCGTATTACACTAGTCATCATTACGCCTTTATGACAAAACGCAACTCGATACAAGCGTGGCACGCAAACTTCCCAAATTCCAACTAGTTTTTCCTTTTCCCGGGAGACAAACTCACCAAGAAATTTTCGGACTCCTTGTACGAAATCGCCCCTCGAAACACTATAACTCCTCGGAGCCGCTTAATTGTTCCTCTCCCTATGAGGAGAACTAACCGAGCATCACTTGTACTCCTCGTGCGACATTGACCAAGGAGCATCCCCGTCTCACGAGCACATCTTAAAGTCACCACTCATCTTCCCATAAGTAACGACTTAGGGGCTCCTGTTCTGGATTGGCCCAATGTCTAGAATTGGCCCAAATCGCTTCTATCCTTGGCGCGACCCAATAACACGAGCCCAACATCCCTGGTCGACCACAGCCCAAGAGGCGCGACCAATGATGCCCGATGCACACATACACCCAAGCCAGCAGCTACCTCTCTGTCTGCCTAAAACAAGTCGAGCGGACAACTAGGAAACGTCCAGAGCGCCTCTCTGCCCATAATTCGCCTCCTCCTCAGGACGAACGACTAGTTATAGGCATATCTGCTTGTTTTGACAAAGTCCTAACAGTTACCTATTTTTGCGGACCCGCGTATCTAGGCCCAAAATAGGGACCAATGATCAGGCGTTGGGGGCATTATATAAACCCTCACACATGTGAGATCCAAGTATCCAATATTCAAACCTTAAACCCTAATATTCTATTTGTGTCTCTTTGCACCCATTCTTACTTGATTGTCAGAGTGTCTTGCAGGTACAAATAATTTTTCATCAAAAAACAAAATAAATATGATAACGCCTTAGTTTAGAGATGTGACCACGCTGTAGGGAAGAACCGCGGTGACCATGGCGTTGTTGAATGTACATTTTATAGTAGTGTCCCCAGATAAAACATTTTTCCAAAACTCATTTCATTTCATCATATTCTCATTCAAAAAATAAAATTTGAATCCTTTGTATTTAATTATCTTTCACCATAATTATATGAAGAATAATGACATTCATACTCTCGAGTGAAAAATGATTAAATAGGAGTAACTATCGTATCCTAATTTTTCTCGAACACTTCCATTTCATTGACATCTAAATAAATGTTAATTATGTTTTCATTTACATGCTTGCATTATTTACATTAAGTTTCATTATCCATTTTTGAGTCATTATTGCACTTCTAAAAATCATAAGATAATTCTAACAAAAATATATATTTAGTCTTCATATATTGCCATTTGTCATTTTCCTTATTCACCAAGTTAGGATTTTTGTACAAGAGACAACATTTTCAAAAATATCTCCAAAAGCATAATATCATCACTAATCTAATTACAACATAAATATACTACACAACTCATTACCACATAAAAAAAGTTAGGCATAAAATCCACATTCTATGCACTAAAAGACAAAAAAATATTACAAATAATCAATGCTCATCACATCATGCCTTATATTACCATGTACATACATCATACATCACATGAATGTTTACATTAAGCTTGCTCACACGTTTTGCACCTCAAAACTCACACAAATATCTCTAACAAACTCACATGATTTGCATCTCATTCTCATCCAAAACTCACACACTTTATGAACTCACACACTCACACCTAGTGCTATAAAAGGAGGAGCAAATCACACAATAAAGGGGAGGAATCACAAAGTAAATTCAGCAAGAAAAGCATCCAAAAAGTCACATGAAAATGCCTCATTCAACCTCTAACTTCATCTCTAACCTTCAACACTTCCTCCATTAAAATATCTATTCCTCACCACCATTAACAACACCAATACAACCATTAACACAATAACCTACCACCATCATCATCTTCTTTACCACATTGTAACCTCCATTATGAGCATCTCCATAATCATAAACAAAAAAGTCAACAACACAAAACTTGTAAAAACAAAAAATAGAGCCAACCTTAAAAAGTTGAAAAGAAAAAGAACCCAGGAAAATCCAAATGCGTCGTCCCTTAGACGAGTACGTTGCTTCCTCTTCCGCTCCGTCAAGCTTCGTTCGCACCACTGCTCTCTCTGTCGCACGCTGTTGTTGTCTCCAACTCGTCCTTTTGGATTGACTTTCGCCTTCCCCCGATGGCTTCTCCATATATTCCTCCATGGCGTAGGTTATCACTATTTTTTTTAGATTTCTGGAGAATTTGAGTCATTAGCGGAAAGATTTGAGTCTGGTTGTGAGTATTATGAGTCAAGCGGTTTGATTCGAAGGGGGATGGAGATAAATAAGGATTCTTCAAAGATGAAGAAGAGGTTTGGGTTTGACAAAGCCTGGCTTCATTTTGGTATTTTTCCGCCCTTTTATTATTTTTGTAATTTTTATTTTAATTGGTACATGTGTCACTTGTTGTATGGTTGAATTTGAAATAATGAAGGGGATCTTGTACAAGATCCCCATGGCATTTATGGTGAGTGCATGTTGATATGACCATTTGATTTAAATCATTAGGTCTAGATTTGTTGTTTTTGTTAATTTGATCGTGGCCTTCTTATCTTCATCAGATGGTCCAAATCGTCCAAGATCTTTTCCTTTTTTTCTACTTATTGGGCTTTAGACTGCAAACTTTCTGGTTTTTACTTGGCAACACCCTATTTTCTATTTGCACCCCCTTTCTTTTTTATTTTTGTTAATTGTTTTAGCTATTTAATTAATTTGTTTAAATTAATTAATTTCTTTTATAAATAATATGAATAAAACTCTGTTTTATTTTCCAAAAAATTCTAACTCCTTTTCCCAATAAAACATGATGAAAAAGGACGAATGGATGTACATCCATCTTGTCTTCGAATAGTTAGACGCAAGATGTACATCTTGTTTAAGTTTGATTATTCGTCTTTCGCTTAATAAATATTAATCAAAGCTCGAATGAAAAAGGGTGAATGAATGTACATCCATCTTACCCTAGAATAATCCGATGCAAAATGTACATCTTGTTTAAAGTTGATTATTCGTCTTCCACCAAATATATTTTATTTAAAACTCGGATGAAAAGGGTGAATAGATATACGTCCCTCTTACCCTTGAATGCTCGGACGTAAAATATACATCTTATTTAAGTTCGGGTATTTGTCATCCACCTAAAAATAACTCCAACTCATCAAACTTACTTTTTCTGCCTTAGCGCGGCGGAAACCTTTTCATAAACGAATGATACTTTATCCATTTCGAGAAAGTTGTGACAGAACTCAAGAAATTCCTAAGTTATTGAAGGATAAAGTCAACCAGTGAGCTTGATCCTACAAATATTGTTAAGGAGAGAAGGAACCCCTTCTTCATACAAGTCAAAGGCCTACACAATTCCTTAAAGGAAATTATCATTGGTGATTCAAAAACAATAATATCAACAATTACCCTCTCAACTAAATTGGTATGCCCAACAGAAGAAAAGACAAGGGTTACACCCTACTCTGGCAAGTCCAAGATCATCAAGGAGATATCCTAAAGTCAAGTGGATCAACAATGAATCTCTTAATAGGATTATTAAATTTTATCAATTTCAAATTGTAGTTTCCAAGTTGCTAAGTTGTATTTGGTGTAAATTTATATCTTTGGACTAGTGATTCAAATAAAATGAACATGTATGTTTCGAAATCAATCCATTCGTTTTACTCTTTCATCACTTTCCATATATAATCAACGAATTTTCCATTTCATCTTTCACCTTTAAAAAAATTTGAGGGATAATGATAAAAACTAAATAACTGAATTTTGCTAAACTATGCTTTCAATGGTAAGACCGAGCTGAGGATGTAAGACATTGTTTCAATTCCTAAACAATGGAGAAATAAGTAGTTAATTCGTAGTTAACCCCTTCAAGCCAGGAGTTGAAGTTTTTTCAATTTTTCTAAAAACCCTTAATTTTAACCAGGGGAAGGGTAGTATTTCAATTAATTCAATGATGCATTCTGTAATACGGTGGGAGAACTGACTTTTGGGTTTTGCATTTTAACGCAAATGTTGTGGATAGCAAGAGTCGCCATCGATTTTTCTTTTATCCAATAAAGGAAAGAGTGAAAAGAACAGGAAAGACATTTTGAGAAATTTTCTGAGTAAGGGGGTAGGTTATGAAAAGGGAAGGTATTAGCACCCTTTTCATCCATAGTTATCTACGAACTCTTAATCGCTAGCTCACTTTGAAAATGCTTTGTGTTTTGTGTATGTTTGAAAATATTTTGAAAAATGCCTAAGTACGGAAGTTTTGTAATGATTCTCGTATTGTTGAGAATGTATACAAAATGTTTGTTTTGAAAATATTTATTTGGAAGAGAATGTTTGTTTTGTGAAAATATGTTTGAAAATGCCAATGTAAGGCTATTTGCTTTATAATAACCCTTATATCAGTCCTCAAGAGTGTTTATAAAGCATTTTGAAAGTGGTTGTTTTGAAAGTGGTTGTTTTGAAAGTGTGAGGTGTGAAGATTGTTTTATTTCTGTGAGAAAGCAATTAAGAGCGATCTACCTACTCAAAAGGTCTTTGTTCTTTTCCTCCTCATTTAGATATAATATCCTACCACTAGTTAGTAGGAAGCCCTATCATTGGATGTGAGGGACATGAGTGGGTCATAGTACAGTCACCGAAGGTGTGATACGGTGGTAGAACCGACTGTTAATACTGGTTTGCATTTTTCGTTCGCAAATGTCGCGGTGAGCAAGAGTCACCACTGAATTTTCTTTTATACAACAAAGGAAAGGGTGAAAAGAAAATAAAAAGACCTTTTTCGAGATTTTCTGAGTAAGGGGTAGATTATGAAAAGGGAAGGTGTTAGCACCCTTTCCATCCATGGTTTTTCATGGGCTCTTAGGTACTTGCTCATTTTTGAAGAAAAAAATACTTGTGTATGGGTGCTTTGAAAATTTTTTGTTTGAAAATGCCTTAGTGCGGCGATTCGCTTTATGATAACCCTTGTATCAGTCCTCAAGAGTGTGATAAAGCGTTTTGAAAACTTTTGTTTGAAAAGTGTTTGGAAGTGTGGTGTGTAAAAATAATTGTTTGAGAAAGTACCTAACAGTTATCTACCTACTCGAAAAAAGTTTGTTCTTTTCCTCATATCCTTTAGACAGTGCTATCCTGCTATTAGTGAGTAGGTAGTCCTAGTCGTTGGATGTTTGAGGGACTATCGAAAGGGACGTACGTCCACTAAGGCAACTGGGCAAGAACTCCTAGTAACTGTCCTAACGTCCTAAGATCACTTTTAACCGAGGCAACAATCGTATGGGTCATCGAGGGAGTTGTGATCTCTTGAACTAAAGGACCGTCACTAAAAATTCTCACGTTTCGAGAATTGTGACCGTTTCTGAAGGCAACCAAGTGAGGAGTACCCTATGGGTGAGCATGTGCAACAGTGTGCTTTTTCAGTTATGTTTATCTTGTAATTAGTGATCTACTAATTAATTGATTCTTGTCATGCACGCCTAAGTTGCTAACAATTATACAAGCATAAGGAATATAAAAGCGAGAAATAAAAGTCCTACAACTATTACAAGGCTTTGGTGTAGATACATAAATAATGAACGAAAAATAAAGTGCGAAATTGTAAACCCTAATTAAGCTATTACAAACTGTGCGCAGTTACATCAATAATAAAAAAAAATAATTGTACGGAAAAATAATAACGCACGAGAATTAAAGCTGGAAAAAAGTTCAAAACCCTAAAAAATCTAATTTGCTCATTAAAAATATTTTTGGGATTTTTTATGAAAAAGATTTGAAATTTAACCTAATCTTCTAATTAATTTTAATTAATGAAAATAAAATTAAAGTTAATTAAATTAATTAATTGGCAAAAAATTAATTTATTAAGAAAAAAACTAAGTCCTAATTTTTTGTGATGGTTTTCTAATTTTATGATTTAAAAAAAAATGAATAAACAAAATAATACAAATTAATTAAAAAGAATAAAGAAATAAAAATGTTAGAAAAATGGGCCTGAGGGGGTGTGAAACCTAAACTGGAGTGATGTTTGTTGAATTTTCCAAGGCCCAGATCTGGTTGGCCCATTGCAAGCGCTGGATCTGGTGTTACTGGATTAGGGACGTCCACCATGGGGCTGCGTCCAGGAGTGTTAGATCTGAGTGATGAATAATCTGATGATGATTGTGTGAAGTTACATGGTGCACCTCTATAGCCTGCAAGCACTGGATCCACAAGAATTCATTTGGAAAATAGAAAAACGTTGGACCTGGGATTTGAACCCAGGTCCTCTCCTTTACCAACGCGCATCAACACCAACTGAGCTGCCAAGTCATTCATACATATAACAATAATAATATATTATATATAAAAGAAAGCCAGTATAAATAAAAACGCGCGCATTTTCAAATGGGCCAACCAGGTTATGCCACGCCTTCGTCTTCCTCAGTTGGTTGTCGTTTTAGCCTAGGTACTTTTACCTACGAACAAATCTGTCACTAAAGGACCTACAAATTTCCAAAATCCATTACAGGCAATATAAATTCACTTTAACCCCATGGATCAAATTGGTTTGATCTCGTGAGCATGATGGTGTCCTTCTTTTGGTCTAATTTTGCCTGTAATGGAAAACCCTAAAACAAACCTCAAAACCTTAACAATGGAAATTAGTCATACACGCATCAAAACATGCAATTAATCATTCAAACATGTTCTAAATGATCATATAAACATGAATGCATACTCAAAATTCATTTATAATGCGTATATTATCAAAATCAAATTCAAGAACAAGAAGTAAACCGTGATGCTGTAGATGCTTGTTCTGGATGCTTTGATGCGTGAGAACGACCCGGTTAGCTTCCAAATGTGCCCAGAAGTTGATTGCAATCCTTAGAATGCCTTGAATCTCCCTGTAAATCAAAATCCGATTGCCACTTTTTGTCAAAAATTTGGAGTTTCTTCTGTCAATTTTGTGCAGCCATTCCTCGTTTTTGTGGTGTGGAAATGTTGTACATATATATGAGAATGCATTAGGTTAACAAACTTGTACTGAATCTTGGAGATTTATGAGAAGAAGATTTGATTTGCCATAGATATTTTAAGTTTCTAAAATAGGACAAATCATGCTCTTTTCATTCCAATCACCCCTTGCACGAAATATTTGATTTCCTAGCGGATTCTAAACTCAGTAT